CTTTAATGTAGGGCATGTCAACCTCATTGAAAATAACATTCCTACTGATGGTGACCTTGTAACCTCCTAAGAATTTCAACCAAACCCTATAACCCTTAATACCTTCTCCATATCCCAAAAAATACCCTTAACAAACCTAGGCTCCAATTTTCCCTCATTCTGGTGAACATGGGCAGCACAGCCAAAGATTTTCAGTTTAAAATAATCCACAGTATTGACACTCCAGACATGATCGGGGATATCAAATTTTAAGGATTTAATGGCACATTTGTTTATTAGATATGAAGCAGTTTTAACTACTTCCCCTCAAAATAGTTTTGGTAGGCCAAAATTTATCAGCATACATCTGACTTTTTCTAACAGAGTCCTATTCATCCTTTTAGCAAGCTCATTCTGTTGAGGAGAATAGGTGACAGTCCTATGTCTAAGGATCCTATTAGTTTTGCAGAAATTATCAAACTCTTCATTGCAAAATTCAAGGTCATTATCAGTTTTAAGTGCTTTAACACCTTTATTTACTTGATTTTCAATAAGAGTTTTCCATTCTACAAATTTTTTGAAGGTATCAAATTTATTTTTCAAAAGCATCACCCAACTTTTCTTTGAAAAATCATCAACAATAAGCAAGTAATACTTAAAACCAGAATATGCGCACACAGATGCTGGTCCCTACAGATCAATGTGTAAGTAATTAAGAATAGACTTAGACTTGTGAATGTCTGAACCAAAAGGTAATTTCTTTTGTTTTCCAAATAAGCAATGTTCACAAAACAACATTTTTTCTATTTTTTCATTCCCTAAAAGACCTTGTTTCTTAAGAATATACAAATTCTTATCACTAATGTGTCCAAGTCTTTTATGCCAAAGTTCAGATTGGTCAGACTGTGGGACTGTAGCAGCAATGGGTTTATTTTGTAAAGGTAAGGCTTGCATAGTATAAATTCCATTGGCTTTTTCAACTTGAATGACTTTAGCAAAATCCTTTTGAAGTGTTAAAATACCTTTGTTTATGTTGGTGTTAAAGTGTCATGTGAAAAGTACACCCAAAATTAAGAATCCAATCTGTTTTAGTTGAAGGTTGACATGTCACATAGACTTGTCCATTGGTGGCCGCAGCCTCTTCATAGGCTACAACAGCTCAACCATCAACATTGTTGGTATTTTTCAGCTCATTTAACCTTTTGTGACTATTTTATAAAATGTCTTAGTTTTTCACAAAAGTAACATTTCTTTCCATTAGCCTCGTTATTTTTCTTGTTGAATTTGGATTTACCACTATTAAAATTTCCAGAAAATTTCTTGGATTTTCCAAAACCTTTATTTGAAAAATTATTTCATTTAACATTGTAACCAACTCCATTTGAGGAGGTTTTTAAATCACTTTTGTATTCAAGTTCCTTATTTCTTAAGGATGAAATAATGATATCAACAGTGATAGTGGTTCTTCCATATTCAAGAGCATTTTTCAAATCTTGAGAAAGTTTATTAAATCTATCAAGATTGTTTTCAAGGTCACAGTTAAGTTCAAACTTGAACTGAAAAAATTGTTTCCATAAGAAAAATTTATTGGGAAGTGACTTAGTTTGGTAAAGTGATTCCAGTTTAGCCCAAACTTCAACTGCAGTCTCAATCTATCCAACCTCTCTAATGACACTATCAGATAAATGCAAAAAGATAGTGCTCCATGCAGTCTCTACTTGTTCAATTCTTTTAGTGTCTGTCACTTAATCCCCCCAGGATTCATTAAAAGCCTTAACACATTTAAAATGAATTAATAGAGCCTTCATTTTTCTACTCCAGAGAGTAAAGTCTCATTTCCCATTCCAAACCTCCACATCAACCTTAGTACTACCCATAGTGACAATGCAGACAGAGGCAGTAAAATTATGATGCAGTACAGGCAGAGCACAAAAAACTAATGAGACACCCACAGATAAAATAAATGATGCATCATTTATGTATATCTCGCAAGTGTTCAAAATTTGAAATAATCAGTCACGCAGGTAACAAGTTAACACAAACTTGATCAATCAACAATAATAGGTGACAGATAAAAGTTATGAATTTCAAATAATCTTGAAGAACCGTTCATCCCAGTCCCCTCAGATTCTAGGGTTTTCAAAAGAAACCCTAGACAAATGAAGATCCAGGAGGGTTCAACCAATAGATCCAAAAAATATTGTTCGAAATGAAATAACAATATAGGGTTAGAAACTCGTTACCAAAATCCTCTGATTAAAAATGTAAAATAGTGAAAACCAGAACTATTTTACCAATCTACCAAGAATGTGAACCATACAATTTCTAGTAAAAGATCTTTAAGATCTGGAGGCACGTTCACCAAGAACAGCCAGAAATAGTTTCAGATCAAAGGTTTGAAGTGCTCTGATACCATTGTAGGGATTACGCAGGCCCCAAAACATAAAGTAATACAGAAAATAGAGATGAACACAAAGGATTTTTCGCCATAAGGCCCGGATGTTCACCCAAAAGTTAGGGCTAGTCACCCGTTGAACATTCACCAAAGTGATTAACGCTCTAATCCACTAAAAATCAACAATATATCAAGATCAATGTTACAATACAACAGATCCACAAAGGATCAGTCCTCAGACCCAAAATCTCTCACAAATCACTCAGAAATACAATTACACCAAGTAACCAAAAGTTACTACCCACAGAAGAACATAAAACCAAAACTAAGCCTTAATCAAACACTAGATCTCACCAAGAACACCTAGATCAAAGATTACAGGCGAAAACCAAAGGTTTTCAGAGAGAGAGAGAGAGAAACGAGAGAGCCAAAAAGATAAACCCTAGAATGATCTCGAATAATTGAGAGTGAATGAAGAGACTAGCCAAAATAATATCAACGATAGAAGCATCCAACGGTCGTAGCTCCATCCACGTGTCACAATCTCTGCCCTTGAGATAAGTGATGAATTGGGCTATCGGGTTGCATTCAAATGGGCTGGCCATCTCTTAATGGTTTAGGGTGCATTATAGGGCCTCCACATATTATAGAATTGGACTGCCACAATATTGGGCCAAATTGTTAAACACTAAGTTTACATCACTTATAAATGAGCAGGTTTTAAAATAGGTTAATGTCACTTGCACACTCATTTTTGTCACCTTCGTTGACATCTGCTTGTGTCAAAAATTTGGTCATTGTTTGGAAAAAGTGTTTTAAAATTAATGTATAGTATGGACCATGCTACAAGTACATAATCATTTACATACGCACATCCATCGGTAGTCTTTAATTTTTGACTTTTCNTTAGGCACTTTATTTAATGCATGTTTGAATAAATTTACTTATAATAATTAAGTAAATTCTATAAAAGATAATAAAAATAAATTACTTATTTTAATAGTTAGAGACACTACCAGTACGTTTTGGCCAGATTTTAATTTGATTTTAATTCAAGTCAAATTCAATCAATATCAACAACATATTTCATGGATCCCACATCTTTTCAACCACACATTTCAAAAATTTCTATCACAATCCAGTTAAAATCTGATTTTAATCTACACCAAACACCATCTATATGTTTTGCTAAACTTAAAAGTAATTAATTTTTTAATTCTACGTATGTTTTCATATATTACTTATTCATATTTATATTAAAAAAAAAATTATTCTTTTTGATCATGAAATAGACGTTATGGTCAAAATAAATAACTTGCTTTAAATTTGATCTTGTCAATAAAAAGAATCTTTGTTAAAGTTTATTTATTTATAAATTGATCTATATATAAATATATTCTTGAAACTAAGTCAAACATGGTTATGAATTAAATCTAATTTCATTAGACCCTCATAATTCTTAATCGATTTTTCTCACTTTTGTAAGATTCTTCATTATTATGAAATGAAGTAATATAGAAGAAAGACGCCCACACCAAATAATATTTTGAGACAATAACATATAGTGATGTATTATTGATTGTGTGTTTCGACCAAAACTTTCAAATATTTGGAAAAACTGATCGTCAAAGTTTTTTAGAATAGTATTCATTAAATAATTTCTTAGTTTTTTATTGGTGGATATGTATCATTTGCTTATTTCGATCATGATTTGGTCAATTTATATTTTTTAACATGTGCGTTAATTTTCTATTTGGCCAAAAAATATAAAAAGATTTGAGTGGAACATCTTAGGATGTAACATCTAGACTTCTTTTATTTCATTGAATGTCGTACACTCTTTGTCATGAGTTTAGACTGTTATGGCATGAGTTTATTCGAATTTTTTTAAATTTCAGTTCATCCTAATGTTATTTTCTAACTCCACCCCTGGTATTGTGCCAACTCACATGCATGTACAATTAAGTGTAAAATTAGGTCTACGCATAAAATAACTCTTTAAAAATAAATCATTCTTTCATTAATCGAAGTTGAAAATGAGTTGGTTAACTATTTTGAGAATTAGTTAAAAATCACTTATGAAAGACAGAAAGTGCATAAATTTGTCGGGTTTAATTTATTTTCATATTTGGCGCAAAACAAATTGTATTAAAGATGCCTTTACAAAACAAGCGAACGTCCAAATTTCATTATGAACTCTCAAATCTTTGATATTGCTAAAAATGAAATGGTTGCTATGTCGGGTTTCAACATATGAAGTGGATTAAACGGACATTTTCTTTTTCCTAGCCACCACTCACTCCATTGGTTCGATTTATAAGCACAATGTACTTAATGCTTAAACACGACAAAATGCGATTTCCCTTAAACGAGACAGACACTTTTCAAGAAATAAAAATGCGACTTTTTGTGCCCAATACATGAATAAGAGTACATAAAAAGTCCCGCGGAATTTAGGCCGGTGGGTTGCGTGTGTATATTATATCTATATTTGTAATCTATCACACACTGTAAATCGCTATATTTGATCTCTCTCTCTCTCAGAAACACACAGTAATGTGTTGTAATTCATTGGGAGGGGTTGTTGATGCAGCTGAATTTTGAGAGATAATAAATGGAGTGAGGGATGGCGAGGGCAAAGCACAAAACTACCAAATTTGTGTTTATATTGGTTGCCCTTTTGGGAGCGTTTTTTATTGTAGATCTTCTATGGGCTTCCTCTTCCTCTGCTTCGCAAGCAGTAGCATCCAATTGGGCTTTTCAAAATTCTCACGCTTTTATCATTCCTAACGTTGTTCATTCTAACAATAACACTGTTTCCGCCCCAGTTAAGGTGAGTTAATTTATTACTGTGGAATGTGATCTCATATCTTGAAACTCTAGCATTTGGGTAACTGTTTTTTTGGAAGAGTCGATTATGTGTTAAATTGTTTAATTTCTGCCCGTGGATTTATATTTCACTTGACTTTATTATCTGCATCCAATTGAATTTTGATTTGAGGATCCATAAGTAGCATATTGAAGTTTAAAAATTTTAATGTGTAAACATGAAATTAGAGTTGCTTATAGATACTGTGAGTTCTTAAAGACATTACCGAGGCATCTTGAGATATTGGAGCTTAATTCTTTTGTTTTTAGATTGTTATTTCCTTGTATCTATTTACTAGTCTTATTACCGTCAAGTTTAGGTGGTGTCAGCACGTCTATGTGCATGAGTAAATACTTTATCTGAGTTGTTCCTCTGTTCCTGATATGAACTTGAATTTATGATGACAATTCTCTTTCTGACAGGAGAAAGCTAAGCAAGATAAAAAAGGAGTGGTTCCTGAGAGGGTCTTATCGGCAACTTTTGCTGATTTGCCTGGCCCAGAGTTAAAATGGGAAAAAATGTCAACAGCACCAGTGCCTCGTCTTGATGGTGCAGCCATTCAAATCAAGAATCTTCTTTATGTATTTGCTGGATATGGAACAATTGATTATGTGAGGATTCTAACATGCACACTGATCTTAAGAATGCTTGATTCCTATCCATGCTGCTGCTCATGTTTTATTTATCTTTTGATGGATAATGGATATTGCTTGAAAGATTTTCCATTTTCCTGAGCTATAACTTTGACAAGAATTAAATAGCCTTTTATGAAAATCTCTCATCTAACTAGTATTGGAACTGCCTGATGCAAATTTGAAGCCTATGAATAACTAGAAACGGAGAAAGGATAATGGGTTTTTGGAAACAGGGATTGATTTCTCATATTTGCAATCGTGCCTCTTGTCACAACTTGAGTCATATTTGAGATTTGATATAACCATGGGAAGTGAGCTAAAAACGTGACAGAAACTTCCTGTTTTTTCATACTATAGTAGTTTTCAACATATTGGAGATGGTTCCAGTAACTATGCTTGTCATTCCAATTATGCGAGTCCTGGGATATATATAATGTAAAAATTCCTTCATTCTGCCAAAGTTTTGTGCTTGATATAATCCTGTAACTTTCGAGGGTTCAAGGCAATATGGACTTAGTGTATATCCTTAAATCCATTTTAATATTACTGCCAATTTTGAATTAAATCAATCTCAATTTATAGGCCTAATGATGTTTTATTTATTTTTTTCCTTGAAGGTTCATTCTCACGTTGATATTTACAATTTCACGGATAACACATGGGGAGAAAGGTTTGATATGCCAAAGGAAATGGCACATTCACATTTAGGTATGGTTACGGATGGGAGATATATTTACGTAGTTACAGGACAATATGGTCCTCAATGTAGAGGACCTACAGCACGCACATTTGTATTGGACACATCGACAAAGCAATGGCAGGACTTTCCTCCTCTGCCCGTTCCAAGGTAGGAATTCTATATGTGCTTCTGCATACTGGTTTCTCTTGGTTATATGGTTATGGCACACTTTTTCTGTTAGCCATGTCTTCTAATGATAATTCATTGACTTTTCTTATGACTTTATGATCATGCAATTTCTTGGAAGAACCGGCATTTATTTTTCTCCAATGAAAGTGATATTCATTTAATCATTGAATACCAATATATTTGAATGAATAATGTTTTCCTCAATCAATAGGTTCTAGCATGCTTTCTTACCGATTGCTGTGAAGTGAATATTTGACAGTCATTCTGTTGAACCAATTGATCTAAAATCTTAAGCTTTAGATTGGGCCAAATGTATATAATTTAGATATTGTCATCAACACATTCTTGCCTTTACCTATCTAAGACTGGTTCCTGACGGATACACTTCTAATGGAAAAAAAAAATGTAATATTAACTTGAAATTTTGATAGCTTTTCAGAACATCTTATGAGTTCTTGCGAATTCCCTGATGCATGTTATCTGCTCTCTGTTTACTATAATTTTGAGTTGGAAGGACTGAATGTTGTTTCCCACATAATAAATCCCTGGTACATGAGAATTCTGGATAGCCTTTACAAGATAGATGAGAATTTTATCAAGTGGAGCAATTAAACTTCATTGCCCTTTTCAACCCCATGCTACCGTTGCTGATTCTCATAAAATCTTATAATATAGTGCTTAATCCCCCTCCATAAAAATACCTTATCTTCTTTTAGGTTCTTAAAATGCGCAGATGATTTTGATATCCCAGGACTCAATTGAGGAACAATATCATTATCAGCTGTTAAATATTCCTTGTTGAAACTTGCTGAAAAATTTACTGTAACACAATTGGCATTATCTATATATTTTGAAATTAAGTAGAAGTTCAGTTAGATAACAGTTACACTTGAGTGAAATTTGTGAACATTGTTATTTCAGATATGCACCTGCAACCCAGCTTTGGCAAGGCAGACTCCATGTGATGGGTGGCAGCAAAGAGAACCGGCATACACCTGGATTAGAGCACTGGAGTATTGCTGTGAAAGATGGCAAAGCTTTAGAAAAGGACTGGAGAACGGAGATCCCCATACCCCGTGGTGGACCGCACAGGTTTTTCTTCTATTCTTTCTTTAAAGTGATTCAATTGCCAACATAAAGGGTGTCCTCGACTGGGATTTTAATGGAGTTTAGAAATCCTTGTAAATTTAGGAATGCCCAATTTAGATTTTAATGGATTCTATTAAAATCCATTAAATCTAGGTGTCTCCAACTAAGGCTTTAATGAATTTCATTAAAGTCCATTAAAATTTAGATGTCCCCAATAACTCGTGATTATAAGGATTTCATTAATAATTTAATAATGGGATTTTCAAGAGTTTTTGTATGGATTTCAAGCTTAAAAATACATATAACAAACTCTTTTGAAATTTCACCTTCTTTAGTGAGATTCTTAAGGATTATATGAAAATATATTCAAATTCACGAAATTCATTAAGAATTTATAATATTTGAAGTCTATTAAAATCACAGTTCAGAGAACCCCCTAGACTATATGGAAAAGTATTTTTATTTGTTTCAGCATGATGTCTATGCTCTCATCTGTGTGTATTCGGTTATAGTGGGCCATAGTGATCTGAAGTGAGGGGGAGGGCAAAAGTTTTGTATTCAAGATCCGTTTCAGCATATACTCTGCTGAGAGTCATTAATGGAACTACTAACAGGCTATGTGTTATTCTAGGTATCATTAAGTTTCTAAGCTGAGTCCTAGATCAATGAGTTCTATTTCTGATACTTTCATCTTTTCAAGCTATGGGGGGTGAACGAATTTGTGTCTATTGAAATGAGAAAAATCCAACGCGAGAATTAGTTTTGAACTACTAAATTTGAATATATCCACAAGGAGGGTTTTGTCTGAAACTTCTTGAATGCTGATGCCTAGAGGACAAAAAAAATTCTTCAGGCAGAAGAATTCATCTATACATGCTTTTTGGCAGGAAACACTCTCCTCCAGGCTTAGCTTGGAATAAATATAGCCCAGCTTGAAGATTTTTCTTGTTTTACGCAATATCTAATGTTTCCTGCTCTTAATGTTTTGTATGTAGGGCTTGTGTTGTGGTTAATGATCGTTTGTATGTTATTGGCGGTCAGGAGGGTGATTTCATGGCTAAACCAGGATCTCCCATTTTTAAGTGCTCCCGTAGAAATGAGGTTATAACTTGTACGCTTTTTAACAGAAATTTAGGTAGCTGATTGAACAGGTTAAAGATTTATGAATACTGATGCTATGATAGATTTCTAATTTATCTTCTTCCTTCCCTAGACAGATCAGGTCTGCTATGTACTGTCATTATGTTTGTCATGTACTCTTTGATAGCATTTTGTTTCATCTATACTTGATGAACTTCATAAGCTAGTGTTGCCAACAGAGGATGGGAGGAATTCACATTTCCCACCCCCACCCCAAAAAAAATAAAATAAAATAAAAAAGTGCAGCAGTAAAATTAGTTTTTTTTTTTTCGTTGTTTGCTTGACACGTTTTGAGATTCCTCATGATTTCATCTTATGTCTGCAGGTTGTATATGATGATGTTTACATGCTAGATGATGATATGAAATGGAAAGTACTGCCTCATATGCCAAAGCCCGATTCTCACATTGAGTTTGCGTGGGCAATTGTTAACAATTCTATTGTTATTGTTGGAGGCACCACAGAGAAGCATCCTGTAACAAAAAAGATGACACTTGTTGGAGAAATTTTCCAGTTCCAATTGGAAACTCAGGTAATTGTCTTCTTATCTTTAAACCAGTCCAAATTAAATATTTTATAGTACTTGCTACGATTGAGATTAAGGTCCTCTGCTTGTTTTACATCCGTTTGTTTAGTTTTCAATCACCAAATAAAAATTGTTTGTTTTAATATGTTTCTCGGTTACCTCTCTTTGGTTACCTCTCTGCTTTTCGTGTATTAGTTTCACTGGAGGAACCTATAGTTTGTGCAGATGCACTTGGGCATCATAACCATTTGATGCACTAATAGGTCTTATTGTTCTAGAAACAAAAAAAGTTCCCTGTTAGATTGAGTATTTTATTCCTTTCTCACCTAGGTTACAGTCTCGGGGGTTCTATGATCCTCCTTATCTGGGCTATGAAACTAAGATTAAAATTGTGAATTAGAGCATCGTACCAGTATCTTGTCTCTTGGTTTTGTGGAAGAGGTGTCCTTGTGCAATTCAGGTTCCCCGTCCGGGATAGCAAAGTAGAACTCAAACCCCATTAGGATCCAATTAGTGAACAGCAACTGACCTTTTATCGTTGTTTCACTCTTTGACATCAGTTCACCATATTCCACCATAGTTGCTGGCTTAACGAATTTTATATGCCAGAAAAAATTCTAAAATCAAGAATCACTTATCAGAGACCGTAATTTTTTATTATATGTGTTCTTTGTCTACTGTAAATAGTAATTTCCCTGTGGAACGTAGTAATGCCACTGTTCGGGTAAGCATATTAGTAACTTCTTAGTAGGAACAATTTTGGATCTCATGAAATTTGTAGTTATGAATGGTTGGTTGAAGTTAATTTTCTCTTTGATAGGATATAAAAAAGGAAGTTATAACTTTTTATCTTAGCCAAACAGAAGCCTTGTTTTTTTGTTGTCTACCATTGTTTACGCAGTTGCTTTTGCCAGTAAGTCATACAGATTACTTATTAAGTTGTCGCTATTACACATGCCATTTGCCTACCCTTCAGATTTCGTGTATGAGCTCGTAAAAATCGTATGGTAAGTCGGATGACTTTTCGAAATAGGCTCCGCTGTAGCACCTTTATGGTGAATTCCAATTTCAGCTAGATGATAGTGTTGGTTGTGTTACTCATGACCAATGTGCATCATCCAATTCATGTCGCTGTCTAATTTTTCTCTTCTTAAACCGGCAGAAATGGTCAGTGATTGGAAAACTTCCATATCGGGTGAAAACCACTCTAGTTGGATTTTGGAATGGAATGTTGTATTTTACATCGGGGCAACGAGACAAAGGCCCAGATGACCCGGCACCAAGAAAGGTCATCGGAGAAATGTGGAGAACAAAACTGAGCTTATGAGCAAATTTTTTTGTTTTTATTTTCTTGTGCATTCTTACAGATAATAGATAATGTCGTTGTAAAATTTCAATTTTTTCATTATTTGTATTGGAATATTGGAAGTCATGATGATTTCTTTTTGTATTGGAATGATTCAGAAAGGTCTGCAAGAAAGGCAATAGAGAACATGATAACAAACTAAACAACTTGTTTATTTCAAAACCTAGTTACTTATAAGTAAACTTTCTAAGCTTAGGCAAACATGATCTTAGTTATGTATTTTTCATGTATTTCATATGTCAACTTTAACTAGACTCGGCAGAACTAGACGATTTATACTCTAAAATATAGATGATAATCGATATATGTGGTAGTATGGTCAATGTCACATTGTCCAATAAAATTTGAATGTATTTTTTTTATGTGGCACCTCTATCACATATACCAATGATCATCTAGACCCTACTAGACATACCAACTCATTACTTTTCTTTAATGTTGATCAATTCTGCTCGATCTAGCATATTGAGTTATTGACATGTTGATTTGGTGTACTATACAGGTACAAGCATTCAAGTAGCTTACACTCTTCACCAGTCTCTCAAATCCTTCAGAAAAAGTTGATGCATAGAATAGAAATTTCCAAATGCAAGGTCAATGTCAACTAAAAGATGAAGGTAAAAGGGAAGACGCTTGAATTTCATTATATACATGCAGCCACAATGCTAGAACTCTCTCTTAAACTTAATTTAAATCAAACAAAGATGCAAAATTACCAGTGAATTCAATTACTTCCACCCTAGAGTTGTTCATTTCTTAATCCATTAACAAGATTCTTTTCGATCTACGGAACTTGCAGCACCAAGCCTGAGCCGTAAGTTTCAACATTATCAGGTCGCCAAGGCTCAAGGACTCGTTCGACTTTAGCTCAGCGAATACTGCCTTTCACGGACATAGGTGGGCGTGGAGACAAGCACCTTGCCTTGTTATTTTTCATGTGTCATAGATATGAACTATCTTTTAGGATATTAGACAATACTTCCATTCTTGTCACTGACATCACCATTAAGATTACCCTCTCTGAAATATACTTCATCCCAGGGTATTTGACATAAGAGCTACTGATTCAGTCACCCAATCAACACCTCGGTAAAGCACCACTCTAAGACCGCAGCACAAGCTCCACCAGGAAAATTCCTCCATCAAACCCCAAACCAGATGATTCAGAAGGCTGAAGTAACCCGTCTACCATTCCACCAAAGACGTACAAGCAACGCCCTGAATGATCAACACAAGCTCGATGAAACGATCTGCAGATAGGGTTTTCACCAATGGATTCAAGTAGTCTCCACATTTTTCTTAATAATCCCTCTGAGTTCGGATTACTGGGCTGCATTTTAATTGAAGGCAACGAATTAATGTCCAAAACCCAAAAGTCATCTTTCCTGTGCCTGTATGAATCTTCGCCTCCAAAAATAAGTAGTCGACTTCCTAATATAAGGTTGGCTGAGTGACCTACTCTTGCAAGGGTAAACCCTTGGGGTATGTTTTGTGGTTCAAATAGTTGTTGCATCCATCTCCAATGGCCTTGAGATGCACTCAAGAGCCACACATCATTAAGCACTTCATATCCCGATCCCCTACCTCCAAATAAAATTGTTTGCATTCCTCCAATATGAGTCAATGTATGTCCCGAGCGGGATGGAGGACATGGATGAGCCACAATTTCTTGCCATGTTCCAAAACAAAGATTTTCTGAGAGATCTAGAATCCACGTGTCGCCTAGTCTGAGACCAGATAATCCAATCCCTCCATGGATAAGCATCCTCTTGTTATCAAGGCAACATCCAGCATGAGCTCCACGCGGTGGAGGGGCAATTGCACCAACATCAAGTAGCCTCCAAGACAAAGTAACTCCAAGTGTTTCGTTCAATATAACTTGTCCTACCCATGTATCATTTTGGCGAATCCCATGGTCATTGATCCCTCCAAATAGGATAAGTGAATCGCCCATTACAACACACGAGTGACCAAACCGCCCGCTTGGAATGCCTGAGTATTTCTTTTGCCACTTCAATGTCCTCTTGAAGTCATTACCTATATATGCTATCCATGTATCATCAAGATGCCTCCCTAGAGGAAAAGAACAAAAAATGACAACACCAAAATAATAAGAAAATTTAGTTTGAACCAGATAAAATTATATCAAACGATACTACATGAAAGAGCTACCATTTACTAAAATAAAAGTGATTGGCAATGGTTCATTTGATGACAGTGGAGTATTTCATTTGTTGTAATTTTTACCTTTACAATTTTTTATGGAACTTATCGAAGCCAAAAGATTATTGATGATCCTTATTAATTAATGCACAATGACATTCATTTGATGGTTAAATAGAGAAGGCATATGTTTACCCAGCTAATAAGTCCTCCTTTAGTTGGAATGGATATTCAGGGACCCATTCTCCCTTTCCTCTTAGCTAATATTTTTCACTTACACTAGAAGTACAAGTCCTATTTATGCTACTTCCAAAGCAGAAAATATAATATATGACGTGCTATGACAGTTCTGGACTATTAGACTTCACAATAATTAAAATGAAGTCTCTTGTTTGTCTGATGATTATATACAGACTAATCAGAGCAACCCTGGATAGTGAAGCCATTCTTTGAATTGCCGGAGGGAGGGAGGTAGCTAAGATGGGGTGCCAACAAGATGAAATAGCTTGTTGTCGCAGGGTAAGCACTTTAGCAAATTTTCACCCACTGAAGGACTGAGGAATCCCTCTCAGTCAGCCCACCAACACAAACAAATGTACTGCACAAAGATTCAAAGGCACACAACCAAAGGCACTAGGCACAGAACACGGCAATTATGGGAATCTCCCAACTTTTTCTCTCAAACAAACGAATCTCAGGGAAAACGTAGGGAACACAACACCACTTCTCTTGTTTAGTGCCACAGCAGCCTACCCCTATGTATAGAAAATGGGTGTAAGTTGGCACCCCCAGCTGGTGTACCGTGTACTAACCAACTCTACCATCGGCGACCTAGCAACTAGCCATGTCCCTGCAAAAGTTCCAAATGTTACTCAGAAACTGCCTTACTAGTCAATTCCCACAACAGCCCCAACATGGCCAGTTTAGAGTCATCAGGTGCAACAGTTACTTGACTTTGCAAACTAAATAAGAGTCCACATCAGCAGCCTCCAACATAGTTGCCTTAAGCTGAAATCAACCATGTGCATTGGCTTGGGTGGAAATTTTATCTAAAGGGATACCACATCCATAATACTCACACTGGGCCTTCGGCTATGTCGAGTGCTGCCCAACTTGCCTCTACACACAGTGAGACTTGAGTCACTCTGCCGTGTTCAAGAATGCTGCCTGCATGTCAGGCTTGCAGCTCATTGACTGCACATTGGGCAATCCACCCATCCCATGCACTGTCATCAGAATGTCACACACAACACAACACAACACAACTCCATTGCCTCCCTTCTGTTTGATTGCAAAGCAGCCATTATGGGCACACCTCCACTAAGGCATTGGCATGAAGTAAAGAAACGTGTTTACCACAGCCACTACTCATTTCAATAGGCTAGCAGTTAAACACATTAAAGTACTAGCTTAACTTAGCCTCTGTTTGACAACCATTATTTGGAAAAAAAAACAATGTTTTGAATAGCGATTTTTAGAAGAATGTGAGGTTAAAAAGTAGAAAAAAGTTGAGTTAACGTGCAAATTATTTAATTGTGTGAATGTGTAGTTGAAAATGAGTATGTAGAAAAAAAGAGTTTTCAAATAATAGTTGTCAAATAGGGGCTTAATGGAAACATAATGTGCAAAACTGATGCAAGTATGGATTATTAATCTATTGATTTGTCATCACACCTAGAAATTCCCCAACACATTAAAAAAAAAGTTGGAAATGATGATCAAGTCAATCGGGACAGTATGAGGAAGCTTGCGTGGAACCTCATTTTTTAGCGTGGATTGACAAGATCAAAAGACCAATTTTCCTTTAAAATAAATGGAAATGATGATCAACCCAATCAGGATAGTTTGAGGAAGCTTGTCGGGAACCTCTATTTTATTAGCATTGATCGACAAGATCAAAGGACCAATTTTCCTTCATAAATAAGGAAAAAACTTTATTGAAGAAAGGGAAGAAATCCCAATACTGCACATCGGAGGAGAAGAATTTTCCTCTAGCATACTTGTCAAAAATACAATTGAATTACTACATTCTTAGTCATAACAATCTTTTAGTAAATTAACAGTCAGTAATCAGGACAAGAGTTAATAAGATACTATCATTTATGCTCCCTGGACAATGGATATTCTTTCCCTCTCAAGAGACACCTTACACATCATCTCTCATGCTTCTTATCTTACACTGAAGTTATTGTTTGTTCAAATTTTCAGGTATTTTCAGTATCTCATTTTTTTCTTTTTCTTTTTTGGTGGGGGGATGGTGGTGCTGGTTGGATCAACTCTGAAAAGCAAAGACTGAAATTCGAATCTCTGAGGCGACTAGAAGCTCTTCGTGTTATAATCTAAAACTCCAGCTTAGACATGATTGATGTAGATGACAACAGCACAATGTTTAGGGTGTACTAAGAATCTTAAAATACACTAACAAACGACTCGAGGACATCTTTACATCTCTAATATACATAAATGGGATAATTACAGCGGCAGTACCAAACATTTCATTAGGTGGCAGATTTTGCCCAAACCTTTCATTTGTGTCACTCACGATACAAAACCTTTCAAATGTCGCAGCTGAAATTCAAATGGATGGTTTCTATTAGTTTGACCGTTAGTTGACCAAATAATTGACCTTGATAATAATTTTGACTAATTTTAAAATATTAAAATGGTAATTTTACATTTTTTTATAATAAAATAGCCAAAATCAAATAATTAAAATTAAAAACCTATTTCCACCTTCTTCTTCTCCATCCACCGCACACATACCCACCCCCACCCCAAATCTGCACACCTCAAATCTGGGAAATCAAAACCCAGAATTTCTTGGACAGCTTTTTCTTCTTCTTCTACCTCCATTTGTTGAGAAGTTCAAATATGAAACCCAAGAATAGGGGTGGGCGTGGGTTGGATTGTGTCGGTTTTTTCCTCAACCTAAACTCAACCCAGCATGATCGGTTTGATCAAAATTTAACCCAACCCAATCCGTGTAAAGGTTGAGACCCAACCCAATCAAATATCGGTAGGGTTGGGTTGGGTTGATCGGTTTGGGACGATTTGTCAACAAAAATTAAAGTAATCCAATTTTCTATTATACTAAATTCGAATATATAAGATTAAATAGTAAATAAATAAATAAATAAAATTATCTGGTATCTTATTCAATCCTCATTAGCCGAACCTATAAAGAACAAAGTGTATTTACATAACATGGAAAACTTATACTACATTTCTTATGGGAAGGAAAATAAGTTCCTCCTAAAAAATGCTCCAAGATAATTACAGTTACACTATCTACTCATACTTTTAGATTCCTTTTACTTTTTAGGCATTTTATTTCTTTTTCTTTTTAAAAAAAAAAATAGGCGGGTTGGGTTGGGCGGGTTTATTCGATTTTCATGAATAAACCCACAACCTGACCCGCCCCAACCCGCCTACACAACCAACTCACCCAAACCGTGTAAAAACAACAAAAAAATCGATCAAAACCGGTCGGGTTGGTTCTGTTTTGGCGGGTTCGGTCGGGTTTTGCCCACCTCTACCCAAGAAGCCTGTTTGCACCAAATACGAACTGTGAATCATGAATGCACTAACAATTTCAAACCAAGTACATTTCCGTAGATAGATCCAGTTTTTCAATGTAGTTTACAGATTTTAAACACTTTTCTTCTATCAATTAAAGAGGCGAAAAAGAATTAATGGATAAGAGTAATTCTAGGTTTTTTAATAAGATAGATCCAGTTTTTCCGTTGAGAAATTCCGGGTTTTGATGAAGAGTCTCTGACTGCATCTTTAGAATCCTCTGCCGACTTATACTCTGAAGATGGCATGTTTCTAAGATTATCTGTCAATGAGTTTGAGAATGATAGTATAGTGGCTGAAGACAGATGCACTTTGGAGTTCAGAAATGAGGTAGAGAGATGCTCGATGAGAGACACCAAAGATAGAATAAAAAACATGTTCCTCAGCTGATGGACTTGCCACTTCAGGACACCATCTTGCAGGGGATGCATATGACCTTGCTACATCTAATTCATCTTTGAGGATTGAACATAACACATCAGATTGTACATCAAGCAGCAATAATAGTGCATCTCTCTGGGTTTGAGTTTTTTAATAAGATAGATCCAGTTTCTCCGTAGAAAAATTCGAGGTTTTGATTTCCCAGATTTGAGGTTTGCGGGGATGGGTTTTTAATTTTAATTGTTTGATTTTAGTTATTTTATTATTAAAAAAATGTAAAATTACCATTTTAACCTTTTAAAATTAATCAAAATTATTGTCAATGTCAATTATTTGGTCAACTAATGGTCAAACTAACAAAAACCATCTATTTGGACTTCAACTGCGACATTTGAAAGGTTTGGTACCGTGGGTGATACAAATGAAAGGTTTGGACAAAGTCTGCTACCTAACGAAATGTTTGGTACTGCCACTGCAATTATTCCTTTTAATTATTTGATTTTGGTTATTTTATTATTAAAAAATGTAAAATTACCATTTTAACCTTTTAAAATTAATCAAAATTATTGTCAATGTCAATTATTTGGTCAACTAACGGTCAAACTAACAAAAACCATCCATTTGGACTTCAGTTATAACATTTTGAAAGGTTTGGGCAAAGTCTGGCACTAAATGAAAAGTTCTGCACCGCTGCTGCAATTTTCCCTACATAAATCCTATAAGTTTTTTTTTCTATCCAATCTCCAGGACATGAACTAGAGATTGTTTGGACAATTCCAAGAATGTTTAGGGCATCTTTTCATCTCTAAAATACATAACTCCGTTCTTCTTGCTATCCAATCTTTTGACATGAACTAGTGATTGTTTGGAAAATTCCAATAGTATTTGCCTAAGAACAAGCGGCAGGACCGTATACCGACCATTTTTCCTTCATTTGTCCCCAGAAGCAACCAGAAATTTCATCTACGAAACCTCAATCCCTTTTCACTCAAATCAAATTGAGCAAATGACTTCAATATAGGTAATAAAACACTTCCAACTGCTAGAAATACAACATATTTGATGTTTAAAACAATTAATACGAGGGTCTGTCATAAAAGATGAACATAATCAGAACAAAGATAAGGATGCCAAGGATCAAATATTTACAAAGAAAAAAGAATCGAGGGCATAATTCAACAAGCATAAAAAGAAAAAGAAAAAAAAAATTCTGACTGACCTCCTTCACATCCCCCACCAAACAGAACAAGGCATCCATTCACAAAATTGAGGGAATGAGAAGCTCTAGGGCCCGGAAAAATCTCATCACCATCTGGGGTTTCAACCAATAGTTTATGGCAACAAACAGAGTCCAACTGGTAAACCTGCTGGTACAACTTCTTCCAATGAATTCCCTGCACAGAACTTGATGCTTTCAGTGCATCAATTGCAGAACTACCCCAATCTCTCCTGCATACAGATTCCCATAGAGAATCGGAATATGCCAAAAACTTCAATTTCCTGCAAGTCATGGCAAAACAAACTATCGATTCAATGGGTAGGAGGAGCAAAATCGAGAAAATGTGATCTTGGGCTATTTTGGTTATTGGAGAAGATGATGATTCGTCTCTGTTGATAGCAGTGGTGCTACTGCTACTGCCCTCAGCCATAGCCATGGCCATGGGTCACACTACTGTGTGGGTCTTTCGTGCTGATTGAAGTGGATTTCTTGATTTGTTTTTATCACTCCATTTGACAGTTTTTAACCCCCGATTTTAACTTATTTCCTTTATATTTTGAATTTTTACTTTTTACCTGGTTACAAGCTTAGTTTTACAGAATTTTGAAAATGAATGAATCATGTCTTGTGCGTGTTTTTTCATTCCTTCAATCTTTCAATCATTTTCCTTCATTTCAAATTCTTGTATGTTTTCTGGGAAAAAACCCCGTACTCATAGCAGGGCTAGTTTTATTAGGAATTTGTTAAGCATTTTACTGCATATTTTGTATAATCCACAATTATTACTCATTTTCATCAATTTATAATTTTAATAACTTGTAATTTTTTTCCAAACAAGAGGCAATTGAATTATTGTTCGCCATTTGGATTGAATCAAAACAGACCAACTTAGTCGAATCAATTTGGTTCGATTCGAATTTATTTCTTAGAATCGAAAATTAATATATGTGTCCAGATGTTAATTGTAGCTTCTAAAATTACTATTCAAATGCTTTTTATATTAAAATTAACAATTAATTATTTTAAATCATTTTTTATGAATTAATTGTTATATAAGATAATTCACACTTCAAAGGCTCGAATAAAAAACATGAAGTGAAACGAAAAAATTTGATATGGTGAGAAATGTTGATAATTTAATTAAAAGAATAAAATTTTATTATGACATAATATTTACGTAAATAAACTCGGTAAAAAAATTTATTATAATTATTCTCTCTCTCTCTCTCTCTCTCTCTCTCTCTCTCTCTCTCTCTCTCACACATGATTATATCCAATCCAATCCAATCCAATGGTGGGATTTGCAGTGCTTCCCAAATGAAAAGTATCCAATGGGATTTTCCCACGTCAGATTTGCTTTTTGTCAATATTATCATCTCTTTTTAACATTTTATTTTGTGCAATCAAAAACTCAAAATTTCTCTTTTGTAAAAATATTCGTCTCCAAGCTAGAAAATATTAGTAGAATTTCAGTTAGCAAAACTCTGTGAAATTAAGATGTTCTATAGGAACAAAATGTCTCTTTTATTCACTTTCTCAAGAATTGTAATGTCCAAAAAATTTAATTTTAATAGTGTTTACTCGTTTGTTATTATTTTTCAGATGACCAATATGAAAATTAAATATACAACATTTCCCACTTCGGCCGCAGCTTATTTCAAATCCTTGAATCTCATCTCTTTTTTTCCATCAGACTTGTTTCATGTGTAAACACAATAGTATAATGTTTCAGCAACTTTTAATGTGTCCGATCTCTCTCTTTTCGATGCAAGTGCATATTCGAATACGAATCATTTTGAAGAGGAAGGGGATGATATAATCCAGGAGTTGAGTCTGATGAGGACAAGCCCGAGACGAGATCTGTTGATTATCGAAGGAGGCTCGATGACACGTTCGAGGGCAAAGCGGGTGAAAGAGGCAATGCGATTGATTGCTCAAGTTATGGTGGACGAAGTTTCAAAGTTGACAAGCCAATGTTCAAGTTTCGTGAAGGGCTCGAGAACCTAAATGAGTTGGATTCAAGGTTTTGAAGATATTTGAAAAGAAAACGAGTAGCGTGGATGAAAACGAGCATAACTTTCAGTTTGGTTGTCGGATTTTCGCCCATTAATACATTTCAAAAATGGCACGAAATTCTACACAAGTTCACGTGGGCTCATGGTACTTTTGGGCTTGAGATTACACATAAACATGCCGAGAACAATTTGGCGAGAACTTTAATTTTTTCGCGAATTTCCTTGTTAGACTAGAATTCTATTTTCTTTCCAATTTTACAATATTTTATAACATAATTACGTTTTTACTAGATTTTGTGGCCATTAGAATAAATAGGACTTCATTATTCAATGTATGAACCTTTTGACAAATTTAATATTGAGAATCTGAGATATATTCGAGAAACTATTGTGTTTTTCAATATTGTTCTTCTTAGAACATTCTAAACTTATCAAGAGAATTCTTGTGGAGTTCAACACCGAGTACGGATCACGTGTTGTGTAATCAAGAGACCATTCAAACTTCGTTTTTGTTTGGTTGCTTGATTTATTAATTCTTGGTTCAAACTCAAAACCGAGATTGTTCTTTGGGCTTTCTTGGGATTTTCAATCTCGTTGTGGATTGTGTAGTGTTCGTTGTTATGTGGTTCTCATCATTTGGTATCAGAGATTGGGCTCTAGATTTAAGTTCTATTTTTTTTTGTTCTTTTGAGTCTTTTATTTTTGTTCTTCGCGCTCGTCGTAAATTTTAAGTCTTTAATCTAAAAAATTCCAAAAAAAAAAGAGTCAAATTTGTTTTTGGAGCTAATCTAGCATCCAAATCAACTTCCGTTTGTTTCGTTGATATCATAGTCAATTTTCGAGTTTACAAATTAAAAAAAAAAACTGTTTACTGGTACTGTTCACGTCATCACTATTCAAAAAAAAAATTTACTTGATTTATTTGGGAAGTTGACACTATCATATTAATTATCCAAAATCTGTTTATATTCATTCCATTCCAAAAATTCAAGAACCACTTTCTCGGATTTAAATATCACACATTCAATTATCCAATTCATTTCTTGAGTCTTATTGATTACGCCTACGTAAAGGATGTTTGATGACTGTGGATTTATTTTTCAAACTCGGTGTTTTATGGGTAGTACGGTATGCAGTCGGCTATTGATAAAGAGTACATATCAGACTTGGCTAGTATCACGATGGTGGAAAAATTGGGATTACCTTTACAAAAACACCCTAGGCCTTATAGGATGACTTGGTTGAAGGAGTGTGGGAAGGTAGATGTGACCAAGCGGGTTTTATTGAATGTCACCATTGGGAGATGTAATAAGAAGTTTGGTGTGATGTAGTTCCATTAAAATCTTTTCATATCTTGTTTGGGAGACCTTAGAGGTATGAGAGGAAGGCTATTTATGATATAGAGAGGAACAAGTATAGGTTTCTTCAGGACGGGGTAAAAATCACTTTGGCTGGGTTGACACTAGAACAATCCTTTGCAGACCGATGGAAGGTGAGAGGTGAGGTAGAACGGGAAAAGCAAGATAGGGAGATGACCACACTTAAGGAGAACACCATAGTTGAATTGCAGGAGGAGTCCGAATTTAATGGAACTAGAGATGGAGAAATTGAAAAATGCAGTTGATATTGGGGAGAGTGAACTAATGAATGAGACAGAGCACGAGCTGACTGATACAAAAATTGTAGAGATGGTTTAACAAGAAAGTGAGCAAATAATGATTGAATGTGTTGAGCAAATGGTTGAAAAAGTTGTGGGGAATGAAGAGCGGAGTTCCATTGTTAAGCATGATATGGTAGAGACGATGCATTATGAGTACGAGGACCCATATCTTATTAAGGGGGAAACTAACAAATTCAATCTTGTTTTGCTTAATTCTTTCTTCAGGTAGATCATTGTACGTGGAAGTTCATACAACAACATCTATGGGTGATTATGTTTGTGCTGCAATACATCCATACCTATAAAATAGATGGGGATTGTGTATTGATCATATGCCATGGAAGAAAAACAATTCCATTTGATCCAGGTGGTGCAGTGATGAGTTGTGTAGCAGGCTGGTTATTCCCTACGCGATCACAAGACACGGATTCAAGGACGAATCTTTTCGAAGAGAGAGGGGATGATATGATATGGGATAGACAATCACTTGGTCGAGTTTTGGAGTCCAAATTGAAGAAGTTGACAAGCCAAAGTTCAAGTTTCGTGAAGGGCTCGGGAGCCGAAACGAGTTGGATTCAAGGTTTGGAAGATATTTGGAAAGAAAACGAGCAGCGTAGATAAAAAGGGGCAAAACTTTCAGCTCGGTTGTCGGATTTTCGTCCATTACTACATTCCAGAAATGACATGAAATTATGCACAAGTCTACATGGACTCATGGTACTTTTGGGCTTGCGATTGCAGAGAAGCATGCAGAGAACAATTGGCAAGAACTTTAATTTTTTCGCGAATTTCCTTATTAGACTAGAATTCGATTTTCTTTCCAATTTTACAATATTTTGTAACCTAATTACATTTTTACTAGATTTTCTGGCCATTAGTATAAATAAGACTTCATTATTCAATGTATGAACATTTTGACAAATTTAATATTGAGATATATTCGAGAGGTTATTGTGTTTTTCAACATTGTTCTCTCTTAGAATATTCTGAACTTATCAAGAGAATTTTTGTGGCGTTCAACACTGAGTGCGGATCACATGTTGTGTAATCAAAAGATTATTCAAACTTCGTTTTTGTTTGGTTGCTTGGTTCAAACTCGAAATCGGGATTATTCTTTGAGCTTTCTTGGGATCTTCAATATCGTTGTGGGTTGCGTAGTGTTCGTTGCTATATGTTTCTCATCATGTGTGGTGGAGAATCTTACTTTAGTAAACAAAGTATTTGAATAATGGGGAACAAGTGAGGCCAAAAATTTTAAATTTTAAACTCACATTAGTAGGCTTATCTACAAGTTGCGGATGGGGCAACGATCAACTAAAAGTAGTGGAGGACAAAGTGTTGTAGGAGCCTAAGGTAAGGTTAGAAGCAACGTGACTAAGTGTGAACTTGTCTGTAGACAGAACGCGACATAAACAAATTAATATCCAATAAAAAAAAAATGCAATCAAAAGGTTGATTCTGTCTAGATATAGAGAATCTGTTAAATATATTAACTTGAGTTAAGCCATTTGCATATCGACAGCATCCAAGCTGACATGATTTGATTGGTGAAAAAAACCGTTTATTTTTTCACCATCCACGGAATGGATTGTAGATGCTTTAATAACTTGGAAACGACAAACTACAAACCCAAGTACTACTAATAATAACAGTAAATAGGCTCAATAACAATAACCAGGCCCGTTTCATCAATTAGAAATAGCATGCCCATTCTTATGCGGGCCTTAGCTTAACCATAAAGAGCTGCATTCCAGTAAAGAATATCAT